TTGTGCAGTTTTCTCATCTTTGACTAAATTGTCGCTTATGTACTTTTTCGTCGAAGAATGGAACACATAGTATCAATTTTTGTTGCATGGGGTTGAGTTTGATGCGAAATATGTTCGTTCTGGTGTAGCTGGTCACCGTGATCGTCACCGACACCGGCGCACATTTGTACACTGTCGCTGGGCAAAATAGAATTTGACGTCGGAATTGTCTCGTTTTATTTCATCGATCGTCTGAGTAAAACTTTCAAAATTAAAATAAAAGAGAACATTCTAAACTTTAGACTACAGTGAAAAACGACAAATCACAGTTACTAAATAAATGACAGCGGCGTGGAAATAAATTGACATTTTGTTGAAATAGGTGAACGGGTCGGGTCACGGCGAGGGCAAGAGCGTTTAAAAGCAGCGTTTAATTGGATAACAAAAATAATCGAGATCGACACACATACAGATAAATTCAGAGTGGACTCGAGTTAGCGTGATCCATGGCGTGATTGTCATAACATCATATTAAAACTTTACTCGGTGGAAACACATTGACCAAGGCCGGATTCTTATTTCATAAATTATTACGCAGATCAAGCTGCAAGCACGGAGGTAAAAAAGAACAGAGGTGTAAATTTGACATTCAACACCAATCACCAAACAGTTCAGAAACTTTTAGCCACAGTTCCTCTACAGATAGAGGGACTGTGCTTTAGCCTTCGAAAATGAAAACAATTAGCAGTGTGTAAGGCTGTGTAATTTCCTGTTTGTCTGACGCTTCGTTTTCGTGTCACTGTCAAAATTATTGCTACCTTTTTACTTAACAGGGACTAAATGGTCTCTATAAAACGATAATCAGGATCGCAAAAAAGTCAACTCATTTGAAACACTTGCCGGACGTCTCTCTCTCTCTTCTGAAATCTGCCTCTGTGATCATGGCTGGTCTGGAATCTATTTCTTTCAAAAGTGATGTGCCAGGTTTACGTTGTTGGCGTTTCTTTTTAAACCTAGTTGTTTTTTCATGGACGAGGACAGTTTTTTCAACAACAAAAAAGAATCCGAGGTTAAGTGGCTTTCGTCCACTGATGTCGCACCTTCGGATCGATTAGAAACGTGTGAATACTTACACTATGACTATACGTTTCACTGCAACTGCCCACAACACATCTAAAAACTCCCTCCCAAAAAAATTAGACAAAAAAAAAAAAAAAAAATGCCAACCGAAAAATGTATATCGTTTAAAAGTATACTAAATGTCCAGTGTTATTACGGCTCAGGGGTATGACTAACTCTCACATTTTGTCATTTGGTGGCGCACTTTCGGCGAGAGTCTGAAATCTGGAAACAGTCGACCGTTTCAGGATAGGTGGGCGTGGCTACAACATGAGAAATATCCCAAATTTATTTAGATACTAGTAATCATTTTTGGCAAAAAAAATCAATAACTGCCCATTTCAGTGGGACACAGATCTAAAATGGGAAACATGAGGGTGGGCATTGCACAGGCACTTTAATAATGCATGTCACTTAAATGTGTCTGGACCTTACAAAAGCTACATGCATCCTGGTATATTCTGGGGACACAAATTCACTATCGACAAGTTTCTCATTTGAATTTCAAGCACTGAAGTTAAAAAAAAAAAAGTCTCCAGAATGTTCTATGGTGTCTGACATATCGTACATGAATTGACATAAAGATTTGATTGGCATTCTTGTGTAGTGTAATATGTAATACGACTTTATTTTCACTGGGTTTAAATTTCACTGATTTAGCATTTCAGGCATATTCAATGGGGTTTTATCATTCAGATAACGTGTTCTATGCTGAATTTTACATATTCTCTGGGTTTTAATTTAGCGCATTTTCCAGTCAGCAAAATTAAAACCCAGTGAATAATTAACCTTTTTACAGAATTTAGACTCCAGGGGACCACAAGGCAGAATTTGATACAAGCCTCTCACCGTTAGGTTGCCTCTGAAAACTGGGGCTCAAATTTCACGGAATGTAAAATAACTACTTTTTTCATATGAACCAAATGGTTGGTCAGGCGTGACACTTCACAACTACAAAATGAACATGTCCTAACTGGACTATATTTTATTACGAAAGAAAATACATTTCTCATATAAAAGCAAAAAGATTCAATAAATTGCTCTTTTTTTGATTTGCAAATTATTTTATATTTGATGAATATGTTGGCACATAATTGACCTAATTTTATTTGTTTCTATAATCATAATAGAATAAATTGATAACAGAAAAGTCAAGCTACCGGTGATAAATTCATAAGAATGAGAAAAAAAAAATACATCAGTTATAAATAAACTAGTTGGTGAACCGAGCAATAAAACCTGCCAAGTTCACCAAATTAGTGTCATTCAATGTCTTCAGGCCGGACAGGATCTTTTAGAGGCTGAACAGACTTCATGTTTACATCTTTTGATAACGCTTTTCTCATATCTGAAATACAACCAATAGAACAATTCAATAAACACTGTCATCTATGCAAAATGAACCTGTATTTTTGAAAATTTCCCACAAGTTGCAGGTGGAAACAAGCAGCCTGTCAGCTGAGATAGCTCCGCTGTTAGCAATTCACATAAGAAAATGTACAATATGTATAGTATTAAAGCAATCAGACTTGTGGTTTTAAACAAGAAATCAAAAAATGAACAAATATGTAATATCAAAGCAATCGGACTTGTGTTTTTGACTCCTGTGTGCGAAGCACAAAAAGGAGTCTTTGCAGTTTCCCTGTCTGTATGTCACTTTATTTGTTCCACCGTTATCTCAAGAACCATTAATCAAATTTTGGTGAAACTTGGTAAATAGATACTCTGGGATAATGCGCAGAGTTAATTAGTTTGGTAAAAATTTATGATA